TATGTGCATAAGCAAACAAATGTACCGGCATGCACACTGCGATGACCTGGTTTCATACAAAGATCACCGCTATTCTAGCGAAAGGTTAACTGGCTAGGTCAGTCAATCATCACACCACTTCACAAAAATAAGGAAAAATAAAATAAAACAAAACAAAAAGGAAACAGAAAATCCTAAGTACTGTCTTCTTCAAAATGTAAACAAAAATAACTACCATAGCTTCAGAGGCATATCTCGAGGCTTTATTTAGCACCATGAACAACTACTCCCTCTTACTGTCTGACTCTCAGTGAAAGGCCCTTAAAGACTTGGTGTGCGCTGCTTCGTGTTTGAACTACAGGAAAAATGGTCTTACCTGTATTCTCTGCTCCTCGGGGAATGATGACATCGGCAAACTTCTTTGTCTGGAAGAAATGGATTTCATTTTCTTTTATAAGGCATAATTATATGCAATAAAATCTATATCAATTTATCTATCTAACATGTTGAATTTTTACATTATTTATATTCTTTATCTTCCTAAAACCAAACTGATTATTGTATAATAAAAACAAGCATTTTTTCTCTTACCGGTAAGCAGAACTCCTCAAAAGCAGGTTTGACCAAGTTTGTATACTGGTTCAAAACATGTTCCAGATTCCTTCCACGTTCACGTGTGTCGCGCATGACTGGAAAGATCAAGACACATTATTACTGAGAATGGAAAGCAGGATACCCTACACAGACTAGCTAACAGGTTACATATGTGTTCTTCAAGCCACAATCTTATGATTTCATATTATAGATGTTAAAATTTGAGACTAAGATAGATATAATATATATATATATATATATATATATATATATATATATATATATATATATATATATATATATATATATAATATAATATAAATATAAATATAAATATAAAATATATATATATATATATATATATATATATATATATATATATATATATATATAAAATATATATATATACATAAAACAAAGGAAAATATTTGCTTATCATTACCAAGAATGTTAATATCAATAACAAACAAACATGTATATTAACCCATTAACGCCGGTATATTTTGAAGCCGAAAATAAAAGATTCCAGGCGGCTACAAAACTGGCGGATGGGGCTGCCCCAGACACTGCCTGCCTGCCGGCCACGGCCCGCTGCTGCATCGGAGCGCAAGCCCCGATACAGTGTCACACTGGCAATGTTTATTTTTTTGGGTGTCTCATATGTCGGACACGTCTTTAGTGGGTTAAAAGATTTAGATTTAATTCCATTTGCTACAATGGATATTCTTTGCTGTGACAAGATGTCTTGTTTTATTTGCTTCTTAATCTTCCCCTGTGTACAAGGAATGTCCAGAACGTAGAATAATTCATTCTCATTCACACCATTTCCACATTTATTACAATAACCGAGTATAGACTAAAAGCATACATTATCATCAAAGTGTTTAATGGTAGTTGGTTCTCTATCATAAATATGATAATAATCATTCTATTCCTTCTGCTAGTTTTATTAATACTGTTGTTGTTTGTCCAAATAACACAATAGCTTTGTGATTCACTTTAGCAATATATAATGAAATTACTTTGGTTATTCACTTGCTATGACACTTATCAGTACCTATAAAGTAAGATTTTTTTATACACCCTGAAACTCTTATTACATAATCTTAATCTCATAACTTTCTTACAAAAAATTTATGTAATGGCATAAATTATTTATCCTTTAAATTTTCTCAGATATTTGTTGTTAACCCACTGATGCCAGAATGGTATGTACACATATACCATATCCACACAGATTTCAGTTTACTTATTTTGCTTTCACAAATGGTTTCACAAGAGCTTAGTAACTAAGGAGAATTTACTAGTCCTAACTGTTTTCCCTTGTTAATCCATTTTCTTGAATTTGAGAATTCTAATCCTCTATTTTCTATATGAGAAATAATAACCCCAATTTCAATTATAATAAATATAACAACAATGCCATTTATAGTATTACAAAAAATAAAACTTTCCCAAATTATTCAAGGGAAGGGGATATCAGATGAGGTCAGGTGTGCCTACTTATTGACTCCTTAGTGTCTAGGCACTTGTGGAGACAGACATGTGTAAACAAATTCACAAGACAAAACTACAGTGGACAGCACAATTACCCTGCACCAATGGGTTAAAGGAGGACAGGATCTGTGATGTACCTATACTTACCTACAATTGTAATTTACCTTTTACTCACCTTTCAGTATTCTTCTATTCAATTTTCCTGCTATGGTTAGAAGGAATTCCACTTTTGAAAACAGAAAGCTTCCTTTTATATACCCCCTGCAGAAGCTTACCATCAGCATCAAAATACATAAAGTATCTTTAACTTTCTTTCATAATTTTTTATTTTTCTAAGATTCGCATTACATTGTTTATAGAATACAGAGCCTTTCAAAATACTGTTTTCTAGTGGTGGGTTTCACAGGTATACAACATAACCCCTTAGTCCCATCATGGAAAAACTTGAGTCAAGGGGTATGTGATGTTACAATCACATAAAGAAAAAATTCTGGTTGAGGGTGGGAGGGGCTATCTTTTCATATAGTGAAAGTAAACGATACTTTTAAGATCTGAATAATACGAAAACTTAGAAAAGATAATGCTTATAACAACATCACTGCTCTGCACAGAGGATAAACTATTTGCAGAGATGAAATGGAGTCTGTATATTGAAAACAAGCTATTGGCAGCATGATACAGCATATGAAAATAAAAATAAAGTAATGGAGTCCGCAAAAACAAGCAAATATACGCCTAAAATAATCCCTCAAAAATGCATACATCCAAAAGGGTCAAACTACTGGGAAAACAACATTATAAAAAAATGGAACCAACCACGTTGGAAGTTGGGAAGCTATGAAAGAGAGAGGGAAGGGACACAGCTCCAACCTTTACTGGGAGGACATAGACTGGAACGGGGGGAAAGAAAGAAAGAACAGGACTGCAAGAAAGAAGGAAAGAATTTTGGGATAAAAAAAAAAAAAAAGGAAAGAATAAAAAATAGGGCAAAGAGAAAGGGTATAAAGATAAATGAAAAAAGATAAAAAAGACAAAGAAAACAGGAAGAAGAAAAAGAGGCCAAACTAACTCTATGCTACAAGCACAATATCCTAAATCCATACCTCTTCTAGCCAGTCTAGTGTCAGCATCAGAATCAACAAAGAGCTTCATGTGGAAGAGTTCGCGCATCTCTGGCTGATAGAACATCAATATGCCCTCGAACAGCACCACATCAGCTGGGTAGATTGTCGTGGTAGTATCTAACCTGTATGGAGACAGAAGAACAGGACTGAAGGAGCGTAAACGAATAATAATAATAAAAAAATAAACAAAAAGTTGTTCTATAAGAGTAACATAAAGAATGTTCAGGGTCTGCAATACTGGTACACAACCAATTCATCGGCATCCTTAGTTCCAGATTATCCACGACTGTGTCCAATTTAGCAGAATGATACAGTAACGTTATCCTTGCCTAATCGTGCAACCTGCAGATCCCTAAAGGACAATCAACGATACTTGCAATTTATCTACATGCCACAACTAGAGGTAAATGTAAGCTTGAAATTTTGTTCAATTTACAGCAATTACCAGAAAATTGGAGGTGTACCCATTTTAGCATATCAAAAACAAGGGAAAGAAGCAAAGGAAAGGAGTGAGAAAGGTGGAAAGGAATACGAAAGAAAGAAAGAAGTAAGAAAGAGGAAAAGAGAGTAAGATAGTAAGTGAAAAAGACAAGATGCAAGACACTTAAAAAATGCTTCTAGTTCAATATAAATTAATCCAGTCTTCCACAATTTTGAATCATTAAACAATGTTCACATCACAGGTCAAAAACTTCAAAATCGAAATTCACTTACATTGGAACACCGTAACGCAAACTTACCTCGAGTTTGAAACATAATCATAATTTGGAATTTTACAGATTTTGCCATCCAGAATTTGTCGGAGAGTCTTCAAAATAAGCTCAGTGTCAAAGGCATCTGGATGGTCAAAATTAAAAAGACCCTGGAAGAGGCAGAAATAAAAGAGATTTACAACAAGCATATAATGCCATGTGAATCTGACAGAATATTCATAACCTGATATACTAAGGGAAAAGAGAAAGAATGATACAAAAAAAAAAATAAAAATAAAAATAAAGAAAAAAGTAAAGGTATTGATACTTATTAGAAAATCAAATTGAATTACAAATCTTTATTCTTTGTCCTAGTTATTGCTTTCTTTGCTCTACCTGTCTTTCTCTAATCTTGGGTGTTACTTTACCCCCCCCCCCTCTCTCTCTCTCTCTCTCTCTCTTACCATCACCTTACATCTTCCCAATTTTTCAACTTGTTCTTCATTGTTTTCTAATCTCCTTTATCCATCCATTCCTCTCTATCATTATCATCAGTTCCTCTTGATCCCTTTTATCCATTGCTCTCTATCCCTTTTATCCATTGCTCTCTATCCCTTTTATCCATTGCTCTCTATCCCCTTTATCCATTGCTCTCTATCCCTTTTCTCTATAATTATCATCAGTTCCTCTTTGTCCTCTTTATCCATTCTTCTAAATCCCCTTTATCCATTCCTCTAAATCCATTCCTCTAAATCCCTTTATCCATTCCTCTAAATCCCCTTTATCCATTCCTCTAAATCCCCTTTATATTCCTCTGCCCTTATCCATTCCTCTAATCCATTCCTCCCCTTTATCCAATCCCTTTCCTCTAAATCCCCTTTATCCTCTCTAAATCCCCTCCATTCTTCTAAATTCCATTCCTCTACATCCCCTTTTATCCATTCCTCTATATCCCCTTTATCCATTCCTCTATATCCCTTATCCATTCCTCTATATCCCCCTTTATCCATTCCTCTATATCCCCTTTATCCATTCCTTATCCCCTTTATCCATTCCTCTATATCCCCTTTATCCATTCCTCTATCCCCCCATTCCTCTATATCCCCTTTATCCATTCCTCTATATCCCCTTTATCCATTCCTCTATATCCCCTTTATCCTCTATATCCCCTTTATCCATTCCTCTATATCCCTTTATCCATTCCTCTCTATCCCCTTTATTCATTCCTCTATATCCCCTTTATCCATTCCTCTATCCCCTTTATCCATTCCTCTCATCCCATCTGTCTCTTATCTATTCCTCTCTATCCCATTTATCCATCTCCTTCATCAATTCTTCTATATCTTTTCTATCCATTCCTCCCAATCTGCTTTATCTGTTCCTTACTAACCTCTATCTACATCTATTACATTCCATCTCCTTCATGGACTCATTTATCCCCTCCTCTCTACCTCTTTATCTCTTTTATCCATCCCTCTCAATCACCTTTACATGTTCCTCTTTATCTATATCTATTTTAGAACTCTCCACTTCATCCTCTCAACCCTACACATCCTTTAAATCAATTATAACATATGGTATATCAGTCCTTCTGATCATATACATTCAGATAAAACATTCACCAAATTCAAATGGAAATTATAAAAAATAAGAAAACCAAAGAAGCAAGATGTGTTCATTGATTAATCTTTGGGTTTGATATCTTCACCAGAATTTTGTGAATTCTGATAGATGTGTAATACTGAAATGATAATTATGCGCCCTGCCTTGTAGAAGCTTTGATTCTCATTCACATCTTCTCTGAGAGCTTGTTTTACTCAAATCTACAGATATTTTCCTCTTTTATTTTATTTATTTTCTTATAAAAGTATATCTAGCTCATTAGCTGTAAAAATCAAAACAAAGATGGAATCTGTTATGAATCTTGTAATCAATTTTAAACACTGAAGTAATGTTTTTAACTTAAATCTTCAAAATCTGAAATCAAAAGCCTTTTTCATTACTTTACACTTACCTTCCAACCCAGAAGCATTTTAAAATAACATATCAAAAGTTTACAAAAGTTAAGACCACAAAGTTGAGGAGTATAGTTTTATACACCAAGAAATTCCCTAATGGTAACGAAACTGTACAGTAAACCCAACATATGTTGAAGATGTGACAGGTTTACCTTTGTCTTTGTCTTACATAGCTAGTAAATATGTAATCATCAATCATTTGTACAATCAAATTCTGAAGTTTAATGATATGGCAAATTATGCAACTACTCCACCAAATTATGATGAAAGACAATTAGAAGTTATAATACTCTACCTTGAATAGTATGCAAAATGAATTTAACCAAGTCAGTGTAAAATAAAGTTAATCAAATCATAATATATATAAACCTTCATTTTTAAACCTTATCATTTTCTCATGGAAAAAAATATATCTGTTACTACCAAGAACCTTTGTAAAGTTTAAATCAAATATAATACTCACAGAAACACACAGAATCAGTACTAACCTTGAGGGCCTTTGTAGATTCTTCAGGGTTTAGGGGTCGATAGAAAGCATCCTGAGATATACAAACAACGCGGCGCTGGGAATGTTCAATGTCATCTTGGCCCAACTTTTCCATGATCTTCTTGCATACTGTTGACTGAAAAGAAGGAAGTAAAACTGACATTAACAAGTGGACATTATTGCCAATAAATATAGGTGATGTGTGTCATAAAATTGTCTGTTTCAAGATCACTTCAGTTTTGAGTAAAAGTTCTTGGTACTCTTAGGAATCAATGTATCTTAAATTGTAGAATTATTCTCAACTTAGCTTACATTCTTTACAATTCATTATTATACGGCCTTGTCAACAAAAAATATCAAGTGCAACAATCACCAACCTACAACCTATAAAATGACAGTTTTGCATATGAAGGGTTACTAGCTGCAACAAATATATGGGCTGCAATTTTTTCTTGAGTTATCCCCCTAGGGTGAGTAATCATTTCCATCCAGAAACCGGAAAATTGCATTATTTCTATGTAGGAAGTTGCAGAGATAATAACTCAAATGTCAGTCCTCCAAAGACATAAAATGAATGTCATAAAAACTAGCATTGGCAACAAATAACAATAAAAAACAAAAACAAATCATCCATAGACCGCATAGAATAGTACTTGCTCTTCCTTAGCAATCCAGCAACAACACTGCCTCACTTGCTGCATAAAATATTACAGGCACGAAGTCCAGTACCTGTTGAAAAATTCATACACTAACTAGCTACATCCAGCTTTAGCAAGGCTTGAACACATTCCATTGGAGACCTGTTTCTTAACTGCATACTACCACTATACTCCAGTAACCCCAATAGCAATAGCAATAGCAATAGCAATAGCAATAATAACAACAACAATTACGATAGCGATAATAATAATAATAATAATAATAATAATAATAATAATAATAATAATAATAATAATAATAATAATAACAATAATAATAATAATAATAACAATAATAATAATAATAATAATATCTTGATTAAAGTGCATAAAATGACCAAACTGGCTAGAGAGAAACAGTGATTGGATGGTGGTCGATGTGCTGAACCCCCAGCTTGGGATATGTGGTGATTGGTTGGGGGCTAGCAAGGTTTTTGCTTCATATAGTGATCTTTGTAATAGTTTGTACATTTAGGATGGTGTTCATCTCTTCCAGAGTTAGTCTGCTATGCATTCTATTTTTTTTTTCTTCTTTTTTTTTTCCACAACCATATGATTTTGCAATTATCATCCCTTCTTTTAATTATCCTCACTGTTATATGCATGGATCTCTAGTTACTTTCCATCCCAAGTAAAATAAATAAAGGTATTGGTACTGTTTAAGACGTGACTGCACCCTTCTGAGACTAATGTTGCATTCGGAACTCCTCGTATTGCTCATCCAGACAACTTGTCACGACCAGCCGGGAAACGAGCCCGCGACTGCAACCTCTAATGCCTTTGCTGCCCAGATTGCAACTGGCTTGAAAGTAGACATTCACTCTTTTATTATAATGGTGTCTTTATTTCAAACACTGCATTGGTTTTGTAACTCTTTGATGCATATCTAACTTACCTGCAACTGACAAGCACAAAAAATATCCTATGATAATATCAAGGCCTATAAAGAGCCATAAAATTACCCATTTGCATCTTGTGGTTGCCTGCAAATGTCATTGTTTGTCATCTCGTACTCCTCACTCAACTTCAAAGGAGGGCGAGATGGACGAGATGGACAACTTGTCGAGGGTGAGAAAGCAAAAGTTCCAAATGGTCAAAACATTTTGTCCAACATTTCTGGACGAGCAGGACGAGGAGTTCTGAACACAGCATAAGTCATTAATACTCCAGTAACTCCTGGGAAATCTACCAATCATCGCCATATGAACCAAACACCTTCCTTACCCAGAGGCTTCACCTCCAGACACGGATTCAATTGCCATATTTCCTTTATTGGGCAGTATGCGCTATGCCTCCAGACCCACCTGATTTCCATAGAACACACACATATGTCGCTACCTATTTTCTTCACTTCTGAGATAATTTTTTTGACTATGCAGATAACTCATGTATTCTTAAATGTAGTTTTTCTCTTTGTTTATTACAGTGACATTGCATTTTCCTGCACATGTATACCAAAGTGACACGTGTTGTACAACTTCATTATCAACTTGCAAAATTAATACCATAAATGAAAGGCTTATTTTCCGTCATTCTGTCCTTTACAGACATTTTACCTTGTACTGCATGGTTGTGGGAAACAAACAAACTATACCAGCAAATCTCCACCACTGGCATTTATCTTGTTTAATCTTCATCCTTTCCTTCCTCTCTCCAATTTTTACCGTACCCAATTACATATCAGCTGATGACAAAGATGGATAATTAATGAAGAAAAAATGTTAATCTCTTTTTTTTTCTCTTCCAGTAAAAGTGTCTGACACACTTACAGTAACACAAGCAATCACTGTGGCCTTTGACATATTCTGTCAAAGGTCAACGAACCACAATATATATTCCTCCAGGTAATTTTTTTCCTCCAATACAGAGCTTGGACTGGTTTCCTACTTGACTGCACGTTGCCAGGGAGTTCTACATGCCTCATCTTGCGAGAAAATACATGGTGATTCAATGGCCTTTGCCAAAGAGCCAAAGGGGTGCAAGCAACAGCAATCACGTCACATTAACTCCTACAACACTTGATTTAATCTTTATTCATTCTCCATCCCTAGTACCTCATTTGCAAGTTTATATGACCTTCTGCAAACCATATTCAAAGCAGCCCCTCATTCTTCCTCCTTCCTCTCATTAACTAGGACCTTCCCCTTCTAATAACCCGTTACAAAGTTCACTGATGTCAATGAGAGAAAAATAAAACAAAACTCCCATTTTCTCCCTCCCTTTGTCTTTTGCTTCCCGTTCCTCATTCCCCTTCATTACCCACTCCTAAACTCCCTCTCCGCAATCAAGTTTGTTGACCCCTGTGAGGCAGACCCACCCAGACAATAAAAAAAGGCTTTCTCTCTTCAATTCTACATCCCTCTCGCCCAATTTCATTCCATTTCCGCCTGCTCCCTCACTCAGAACGAGACGACCTCTGAAAACAATGGCAACACAAAACGAAAGGGCAATAAAAGAGGGGACAAAAGCATCTCATGCCCTCGGCCCTTTCTTCCGTCCATCCATTCCCCACTCAACTTCCACTGCCTCATTTCTCACCTTTCCTGAAGCCGTTCCTCCTGCCACCCCAATGAGGAAGGGGGTCTTGGGCCCAAATCCGTTGGTCATCCCGTTTTGCTGGAGTCTGCAGCTCAAGTCCTCTGCCTTGTGCGTGGACATGACTGAGGTGAGTGAGTGAGTGTCTGAGTGAGAGTGAGGTTCAGTGTGACCAAGACTGCGGTGGTGCAACCTTGCGCCTTCTCTCACTCGCCGGTTTTCTACTCCTTTTTCCTTCTTTATCTTATTTAGGGGAGGTTTAGGGGGGAGGGACCTGCTGAAAAGCCTTATATGAGGGGTGATGAGGTGCTTTATGAGGGTCGTGGGTCTCGGGAACATGATGGCATTATATACCACGTGGTTTTGTGGAGTAAAG